CAAAAGATGAACAAATGTTGCACTTGGAGTAGGAAGATCTGAGTTTTTATCCTGCTGCAGTCAGGAAGTTCAGAGTGGCAATCAGGAAAGCTGAAGTGGCTATGAATTTGTTAGAGTATTATATAGAACATAGATACAAATAATTATCATACAAATGATCCTTTATGGACCATAACATCCTCTCATACAAAGTATAATATAATCTACAGTGAACTTGAATTGCAATGGGAAATGAGTGACATTCTCCCAAGCTCTACCTCCTTGAGAAACCAAAACAAAGATGCCTGTGCAGATTTTCATAATACGATCATCCCTCTCCTTTTTTGCTTGTTCTTCAAAATGTAACCAGTAGGTCTCCAAATTAACATGCAACTGAGATGAGTGGGGTTCACACCTTTCAGGCTGTCTGCAGACTCAGGATGACAGTACTGCACCAGTGAAACAGTGCTGTTCATGTACTAGTCAAGTACAAGACAGCGCTGCATTGGTGAAAGCAGAGGGAACAAACAGCAGAAGGCCCAGAGATGGACAATCTAAACAGCACTTTATATAATACATTTTAACTCCATCTAGCTGAAAGTAATGACACTGTAGTAAGTTCTCAATATTGGGGGCTTGTGACAATTACAGTGTAAGGGCTGTAGAAATTTGAGAAGTTGCTAGCCAGGTGATCTTACCGAGGCCAGGTCTGCGCTGCAGAGTTTTGTCAGCACAGCTAAATTGGCCAGGGCTGTGAAAAAACCCACATCGCTCTGCAGCAAAACCCCGAGTGTAGCTGCAGCTGTGCAGCCAGAAGAGTGCTTCTGTCAGCTTAGCTAATTAGAGGGACAAGCTGGGTGAGGTAATCTCTCTTAATATTGGACCAGCTTCTGTTGATGAGAGAGACACGCTTTCATAAGCTTGAAAGCTTGTCTCTCTCACCAACAAAAGTTATTACCTCACCCACCTTGTCTCTCTAATATGCTGGGACCAACATGGCTACAGCATTGCGTACAGCTTAGCTAATGTCATGTGGGTAGGTGGTGTCACTCCACTGGCAGAAACACTCCATTTATTGGCATATACTGGGTCTACACTAGGGGGCCTCCGCTGCTACACTATAGCACTGTAGCAGCAAAGCCTGTGTAGTGTAAACTAGCCAGAAATGAAAGGGTAGCCAGTGGAAAAACATTCCCTGGCATAAGGAAAAGTCCACTCAGCCCCAGACTGTATTTCTTAGTTTGATTATATGAAACATACACAGAGTTCTGCATCGCAAGGGCTCTCTACAGTGCACTGGTTGCATGTTAGCTCAAGTGTTGGTGACAATCCATAAGGCCTTCAATGGTCTAGGACTGGGTGATCTGAACAGTTGCCTCCTTTTCATTGTTTGTTATATTGCTCCAACAATATCCTGATGTCCAATTTGATTTGTTGTATTAATCCCAGAGGCCAACTGCTCTAGGACCAGTGGTAGGACATCTTCAGCTGAAATCCCCTGCCCTTGGAAATCAGCTGCTTTCTACCAGGGCCTGAGTTTGAGCCCGTCCAGACTACCCGCCGAATTGGCGGGTAGTAATCGATCTATCGGGGATCGATAGATTGCGTCTCGTCTAGACGCGATATATCGATCCCCAAACGTGCTCATTGTCGATTCCGGAACTCCACCCCGGCGAGCGGCGGTAGCGGAGTCGACGGGGGAGCCCCAGCCATCGAGCCTGCGCTGTGAGGACGGGAGGTAAGTTGAAATAAGATACTCAACTTCAGCTACGCTATTCCCGTAGCTGAAGTTGCATATCTTATATCCGACCCCCCCCCCCCCCAGCGTAGACCAGCCCTGAGAGAGCAGTATAGTATTTACCTGTCTGGTTACTCTTTTATTAACCCTCTGAGTTATTTTTGTACCAAGCTCTGTATACAGCATTTTATTTTAAGACCCAATTTGGTATTTGTTTTGAAACAGTGTAGTATGTTCAGGCGCCGAGGTGATAGGAACAGTTTGGAAACCCCTAAAAAAAGTATTGCATTAAAAAAGGATTAGGACACTCCATTAGAAGCACACATAAGGGGCTGGGATTCAGTGTCAGTGATAGTCATTTACTATTTAAACATACACTGTTACCATAATTGACATTGGTATTGATTAAACTCGATACTATGTGTAGGTTAGTCACCACTTGTAAATGTACAATATAAAAAGCTTTTTTAAAGCAGCATCCTTTTGTGTTTTTAAAGTATGATGTTGAAACCCTCTGTCTGTGCTCCCTGGCTCTTCCAACACACACTCCCTATACCCAGATATTTTCCTTTATCGGTGCTATTTCTTAGGTATGTATCACTATGCTCGGCATATAGACTCAGCCTAATCAGAATGTCTTCTTATCCAATGTCCCAGTACAAATGGGGCCAATCCTCCTTGTGTCTGTGAATATTTCCACTGACTTCAGTGGAGGTATTCATATTAATAAATGAAGCAGGATTTGGCCTTGAGATTGTAATTTTTTTGACCTAACCCTGCTCTCCTCTGAACTCTGTCCACCTCTCCTTCTCACTAAGGTGTTTTTATAATAGCTATCATTACAATATCAGAGCATTGTCAAGGGGAGCCGGAAAACATTCCCAGGTGCAAGCCCCATGCAGGCAGGGCCCTTGTCTCCTCTTCCTTCTCAAAAACATCGAGTCCAAACTACACTACATAACATAACTCTCTCCCAAGAGGTGTTAAATTTAAGCACCGAAAACCAGGACAGTCCAGAGTTAAGGTTAAATTAGCTCAGCCTCTTTGGGTACATAGATTAGGATACAGGTTTATATTCGCCCTGGTGGGCGTACTGTTTCCCTTTGCCAGTCATGCCAGCTGCTGTCTGGGGTGATGGTCTGCTACCACAGACCCCTGGCCCTGGGAACAGTTACACAGGGAGGAGGACAGCTTTCACTTATGGTTGAAACTCCGTAAGAGTAGGAGTGTCTGGCGAGGTTGCTTGTGAGAGGCACTGGTACCACCTCTCCTTGTGGCTCATTATGAGATGGCACCCTAGATGCACTCTCAATAAAGGCTTTCAGCTTAGAGCCAATTTTTTAAGTGCTCTAAATCAACATGCATTGTCAGACTGGCCTAGGGGGAGGCCCATGGCTAGTTTGTGGTGCAGATTTGGGGTAATTCAATCCAGGATTTGAGAGAGACAGCTCCATATTTAGGATGTTAACATTTTTACCTTTTTTTTTTTTAAATTGGACATAGGGAAAAAATAGCCATGATCCAGACAAAACATATTACAGCCCTTCCCCTGCTCTCAACTAGTATCTGACACCAAGAACTAGTTTAGGAACCCAAAATTTCAAGCTTTATTGATGTAAATCTCTGGGTGGGTAGTAATACTCTGGGCGCTCGTTAGCAAGAAGCTATATGGGAGGATTGTACTATTGCACATCTCCTACACAGGGACTGAAAGCGGGATCTTTGGCAGGCTAAAGGACAGCAAGTGACTTCTGTGCCAGTCTAAGTTGCCAGACAGCACTGTCCCAGCTGTGAGGCGGTTGATGCCAGATTAAAAAGCCAAGAGAGGGTCCCATGCCCAAGTGCTTTTAACAGAACTATACCGGGGTAGGGTAGCTGGAGTCTCTGCAGGCAGTACTGTCCTTGGAAAAGCTGTTCTGGAACCAGTTTGCCAGCACAATGCTGACTGCCCCCAATGGGAAGCCTAGACCAACACAAAAGAGCTTCACTGGGCACAGTACTGCATGCCACAATGCCAGCAAGCCATAGTACTGTGATAGCACTTGGATGTGCTCCAGAGGGTGCTCTGGTTTTAGGAAGTCCTATTCTCTGCTGTCTCATGTATATTGTGCATGATTTGGGTACTGTGTTTAGCATAATGAGGGCGTAGGGTTAATAGCCTGGTGTACGGTTAGATGGTGGCAGACATTATGGTCTTTCTAAGGAGACCATGACTATTCTTAAAAGAGCTTTTGTTTACATCTGCACTGTACACAAAGGGATTTTGTGAAGTCACATTGTTATTGGGAATCAAGGAGAGAGTCTGGAGCACATAGGCATGCTCCAAGTCAAGAACTTCCTAGCACTACCAGTGGTGAGAGTCACAGCTCTCTAGATCACACCTATCATCATTTTTATGAGAAAGAGAGTCAAGGGACAGGCTTCCGAGTCACCACCACTGCTGAATGCTGAGATCCTGCAGCAACAGCAGTTGCCCTCTACACATGGGGCATTGTCACCTATTAGCATCCTCCTCTTGCTCTTCACGAGCATTGCCATCCATGCCCGGGAGTAGGAGGGAAAGAAGAGAACACAATCTCACCTCTTAGTGTGAAAGCAAGGGGCCTCTAAAATCATCTCTGGCAGATGGGCACAAAGCAACGGGGAGCAGCTCTGGAATTCCAGGCCAGGAGGATTTCTAGGCTCCAGCATAACAAGGGGGCTTGAGGAAAGCACAAAAGAGGGGTGTGTGTGCGTGTAACAGAGCTGGGTTTGTAAGTACAGGGCAAGGAGCAGGCAGCAAGAGGAAAGAAGGGCCAGGGGCAGAAAGAGAACTATTCCCAACCCAAGGGAGATAGAAAGTGGGCAGCAAAGGCACCCCTACAAGGGATACATAAGGGAGCCCCTGGTTGGGACTGGAGAGATAAGGCACAGGCAAGACAGAGGACCTGTATCAACAGAGACCCCCCCCCCCCCGCCAACTCGAGGCGACGCCACAAACGCCTCTGCAACCAGAGACGCCACCTGCCGTCCCCTTATATAGTGGGGACCAGTGTTCCATCATGCCCCGCGGTGAGATGGGGCACGCCTGCGCAGTGAGCGCCACGGTTGCACTCGCTCAGGCTCTGCTGATAGCGCGCACGCGCGGGAAGAGGGAGGCGAGGAGGGTCCAGCGGGCGCGAGCGACTGTTGTGTAACGGGGGGGCACCTAGGAAGCTAGTGCGCCTGCGCTGGCAACCGCCTCTTACGAGCGCGAGGTCAGTCCCGTGCATGCGTGCGCGCACAGGACTCGCCGCTGGCGACGGGCGCACCTGTCCGTGCCACTCGACGCAAGCGCATTGGGCAGCCCATGGCGCAGACGCTCGGCGAGGTCCGCTCTGCGGCTGCGTCGCGATCACCCCCTCGCGGGCCGCAGGGCAGTTACTCCTAGAGGCGCGCGCGCGTCCCTCCCGTCGTTCAGTTGGGCGCATGCGCAGCGGTGTCACGCCAGCCATTGCCCGACTGAGGGGCGCCGGAGCTGGGCTGCGCTGATCGGACCCAGCGGCCGAGCGCTAGGCCGCGGCGGAGCAGGGAGCGACCCGCCTCCGCCACTCCCCTGAGAGGTATGGGGCCGGCACGATGCGGCCGGGTACGGGCGGGGGGTTCCACCGAGCTCCTATGTGACGCAGAAGGCGCCGCGGCCGCTGAGGAGACGCTCAAAATGGCGGCCCGGGGGCGATGGGGAAGGGGCGGAGCGAGGAGCTGGGGGGAGGGGCGGAGCGAGGAGTCTCGCGCCCACAATGCTCTGCGGCCGGGGGCAGGCGGCGGAGATCGCGGCTCTGGGTAAGGGTTAATGGGCGAGTCGGGCTTGGTGCCGGGGACTGAAGCGCTGCACGCTCTGAACCGCCCCCCCCCCCCGCACATTTCGGGGGCCGGTCAGGCTGGGTATGGTACAGCGCCGAGCGCCCCGGCCGGCCAGGCGGGGTACATAATAGCGTGTGTTGGTGTAGCGCAGCCAGTGCAGGACGGGGGGCTCGTTCCTGGCCCAAAGGGGGTTAGTAGCTGTGCGGTGAACAGACTTATCTCGGGTTTCTTTCCACGGGTGCTTTCAGCCTGGGGGTGGGTTGCTTTTTTGGCACTTACGGTCTGACTAGAGGTTCCAAATCTTGGGTCATAAATTAGCTATGAACAGAGTGAGGGGGGAAAAAAATCAGCGATTAAAATGGTTTTAAAAAAATTAAGTTAAATATAGTTTTTTTTAAATAAACTTTAAAACTAATTTTGAAATAGATAAGCTATGTTAAGTCCTAAATATATTCAAACTTATTCAGAAAATTAAAATACAAGAAAATCATATTAAGCAGTATGTGTGGTTTGTTGAAGACCTAAATCACTTTTAGCAGCGCCAGCCTCTTCTGTAGATGCAGAGAGAATATTTTCTTCCGGTTAATTCACTCAGTTCAGTTCAATGACTAGGTCAGTCAAAATTAAGAAGCCAGTTGGGAGTTGAAAAAGGAGAAAAACTTATTTTCCTCTTCTAATCTAAGAACAAAAATTAAGAGAGGCACTAGTTCTAAAAATCTTGAAGGACATGGTGACCATAAGCAATCAGTTCAATGCACTAATAATAGTTTGTGTAATGAATCTGTTTTAAATGCAAAAATGTTTTGGTCATTTTTTGTATGTATCCAGCACATTTAAAGTAGTTTAATAAAATTTAATTTGAATTTTCATCCAGTTATAGCTTGACACAATTTGTGAGTAAAATATTAATCTAGTAAAGTTAATCTATATAATTGCTAAATAAATGTGTGGATACAGTGTATCCTGGATAGCAAAAGGAAGCACCAAATTTAGTGTAAAGGCTCTTTTAGTTGTCAATCAACATATTGTAATCGTTACTACCTAATGAGAATCAACCTTACTTTAGGAAAATAACTAAAATGTACAAATGCAAAACATGATTAAAATTGATTATTCAAATCAACCTACCCTGGCTGTGGGGTCTTAAAGGGACATATTTGTTGGGATTAGATTGTTTTTTCCTCTTGAAGAAAGCATTCCCCAAAATCCCCAATCTGTTTGTTCATATTTTCAAAAATGTCTCAGAAAGAGCTAACTAGGAACAATTCTGATTTGTTGGGGGGGGGGGGCAGATTTGATCTTATTAGCATTGGTCCTCAAACGGTGGGGGGGTGCAGAGGAACGTTTCGGGGGGGCAAGACAGGGCCCAGTCCAGCCCCCACAGGGGGCAGGGAGGGAGCACCACCCAGTCCCTGCCCTCTGAGGGGGCGTGGAGAGATTCCATAACTGATGGGAGCGGGGTGACAGAAAAAGTTTGGGGACCACTGCATTAGGGGGTTAGTGGATGGATACAACACTACTGGCTTCCTCTTCCCCTGTTCTTCATTTCCAAAGTATCTTGATGGGAGCCTACAGTCTGCTTGACTTATGGTTGTGTCTTTTTCAAAGAACTGTCATCTCTTGAAAGATTTTGTCAAGTTCAGAGCTCTTCTGCAAGTCAAGATCTCGGAGGTTTTTGTGGCCATCTCAAGTTTAAGGGGAACTGAAGTTTGATTAATACTGAATCTTTATCACTCTGTGCCAGCAAATTAAAACCTTCCTCTGCCAAATGCTGGAGTCTTGTTTTTTAAAATAATTAAAAGCATGAGATTTAAGATGGGAAGCATTAGTGTTGCTATTGCTTTTTCTCCAGTTCACTTAGGCCCTGATCCTGCATGTTGTTCCATGTGGGTAGACCTTTGCATGTATGCAGTGACCCATGGAATTCAGTGGGGTGCTGCAAACGTACAGAAGTCTGCCCACATGGAACAATTAGCAGGATTGGGGCCTTTCTTAACATTAGCAAAGGGGAAACAAAGGATTTGAAAAGCGAATAGGTCTATATACTAGTAGTAAAAGTTGTTTTAAGGATACACTAAAGCTTTTTTCCCACTTTCAGTACTGTTTGCTAATTGATTTATGTTGATGTGCAGCTCTGTAACAACTAGCTGTGTTGAACTCAAATAGCAGTTGGGGCACACTTTTTCAAAAGCTTTCAAACGAGTAGCCTATTACTAATTACATATCAAGTTCTAGTCATATTTCAGAAATTTTAGTTGTGCTTTCTTAAAATGCGTTCTCATCTGGGGATGGATACGTTTTGTTAAATGTCACTTTCAGCATCTCATGTCTCATAAGTATCTAATGTTAACTTCACATCTGCTGGCAGTTGGTAGTTTGGAGTGCTGAGTTTATATATTCAGTTTAATAATCAGATATATTGCTTATGTCAATATTTGACTAGATTTAACTTTGAGCAATGTATATGCTACTTGGGTGCAATCACTGAATTCAAGCTTTCTGAAATACATGTCTTGTCATTGTGTTTTGTTTCCTTTCAAACTGGGAATGAATTAGGTTAATTTTGTCACTATTCCTTCCCTGGAATACAAGAAAAATGAGGGCCTCCTGTGATGTAATCACTAATAATTAGCAGGGTGGATTTGATTTAAATCACTAGTCAAAGGCATACACTATATCTGTTAAGGAAGTATTTTGCAATTTCAACAACATTAGCCTTTATTTCTGGAACCCTAAAGTCTTTGGCTAGGAGGTGCATCAGATGAGCACTGCAACCCTATGTTATTAGCTTGGGACTCTTCTAAATTTCTTCTCATCTTGGATACATTTGCAGCATTGCCTGTGACCAAGCTGCCTACTAGACATTTGAAATTTTTTTCAGAGTTTGTTGTAGCTTTTACTGCTACTTAGAAGTATTCTGCTGTGTGCGCATTTCCTGATGTATCAATTGTTTCTGTAAGGAAGACAGTACCTTCTTCTGTTGTGACCCGGGCACATACAACAGGGTCATTGTGGACACTGCTCCACCCATCAAGACTCAGGTTAACAATTTCACCCTCTAAACCTTTTGCACACTGCTCAGTTCTCTTTCATAGACTTTATCCAGCAATTTGCCTGCGACATCTGCTCTGTTGGGTGGACTGTATCCTGGTCTTAATGACTGAACCATGTTAATGAAGTGTGTGTTCTCAATCATATGGAAAGGAGAATTTGTTGCATAAACAAACAGGGCAATTACATCTTTTTGTAATCTGCTGGATCTTATCACAAATTTATCTATGGTTATTTCTGGATGATGGAGGGTTTTTTTTCCTTTTTGCTACAGGTGATATACTGTAGCTATGTGACATACATGATGTGACTGAAACACTATCATTGGCAGATGACTCTGAAACTGTAGAAAATGATGGTGATCTTGAAGGTGAATAGTCTTCAGAATCCTGTATGTTGAGGATGGATTCTCCTAAAAAAAATAAGTCAATGCAGTTATTTAATTATTATTACCATATTGCTCATTTAGTATTACTCATTGCATTCACTGACACTCAGTACTACTTAAAAGGTGAAATTGTAAAAGGAAGATCTGCCTATTTCAGCTATTTATTTTTTATCACAACTGCATATAAAATGATAGTACTATAGAGTAACAACTATAATTTTTGCTCAAACATGAGAACTCAAGAATAGTCAAGAAGGAAAACAAGCAGTCCTTAAGAAAGAAGTATGAAATAAAAAAGTTTACCAACCTGAAGTTCCTGCATGTTCAGACATGTTCCTTTCATCATCTTCAATGCAGCTTCCTTCTGAGAAGGAACACTCCTCATGATGTTGTTTCATTGAAGCAACCTGGCCTGGCTTTTCTTTGTTGCACTGTTTGCATTTTGCATGCATGCCTGTCTTACCCACAGGTAGAGGAACTTAATTAAAATATTCCCAAGCAGAGTCTCTTTTATGGCCTGCTGCCATTATAGGTTTTCCATTCTAGTGAGAGAATGGTATGGTAGATCTCAAATCAATGAAGGCTACACTCAGAAAGAGCTCAAGACTTCTGGAATATGTTGCTCAAACAGTTTCCCTTTTGTTTCTACTGCCTGTCCCTCCCTTCTCACATTTATCTCCAGACTTCTTCTCCTTGTCCAGATGTATTCCGCCCCCAACAATCTTCTATTCATTGAACTTCTTAAAACTTTGCACTTTTAGAGAGAGGTAAGGGATTGACTCTGTGTACACAAATTTGCAGAGGGACAATAGGGTTGAGGTCTGTTATTTCTCACCTCTCTATATTTATTTATTTAAAATATTTTTGCTGTTAACAAGTATGTTATCTCTGGAGAAACAAATCCACAGTTTGAGAACTGCAAAACTAAGCATCTCTGATGGTATCTTCTAGACCAGAGTGGGGCAAACTACGGCCTGCAGACCCCTTCCCTCTGGCCCCCGAGTTCCTGCCAGGGAGCGGGGTCAGCAGAGGCTTGCGGAGGAGCCAGCCCAGGCAGTGCGATGAGCGGGGCGGAGGCTAGCCCCTGGCCCCCTGACCCCCTTGCAGTCACAGTTCCCCCAGCACCTGGGCAGCGTGGCTATAGCACTGCCAGACCTGCTGCTCCATGGTGGTGTGGGCAGGGAGCAGGGGGAGTTTGGGGGTGAGGAGCATTGGGAGAGACAGGGGCAGAGCAAGCCAGGGGCCCCCTCTACCTCCAGCATGCTTGGCCCCTGTCCCCAGTAGCCAAGCCGAGACAGGGACTGAGCCTTGCTTGACTGCTAGGGAGAGCAGCCAAACGAGCAGGGGAAACATACAGGGAAAGGACTGAGCCCCCCTCTTCCCCATCCCCACAGGTGACGTGGGGCAGGGAGATTGGATAGGGGATGGGCATCCTGCTGGGGGCAGTCAGGGGTGGAGAGCAGGGAGGGTTGGATGGGGGTGGGAGTTCCAGGGGGTTGAATGGGAGTGGGGCCCAGGCCATGCCTTGCTGTTTGGGGAGGCATGGCCTCCCCCAGCCTTCCCTACCTGGCCCTCCATGCAATTTCTGTACCCGATGTGGCCCTAGGGCCAAAAAGTTTGCCCACCCCGTTCTAGACTGAGCACTGAGTCCCACTGGGTAGATAGAAAGATTAACCTAAATAATCTGTACAGAAGCCCCTGAAACCCCATAAAATTGGGTCCCTAATCCATGAACTACTGGAACTCGTTTACAAAACTTAAACATTACATGAATATATTGTCTCATACTATAGAATTAGAATTTATAATCCCTATTCCATGATGAGATATCTTTGAGCTATAATGTATCTTAATTAAAACTATCTTTAGATAGGTTTTTTCCTCAAAAAAAGCA